CTGGCTCGCCGCAGTCGCGCCTCGAGAGTGCAGAGTCTCGCAGCCCACGCCCTGCTGGGCCTCGGGCTTCGACCTGTCACCCTGCGGGGCCCTGCGAGCTTCAGGCTGCACCACAGCGGAGCAGGACACAGCGGTAGCGGTCAGGCTCCTGGCAATCGCAACTGAGAACATTCAGGCATTGCCTATGTCACCCGGTTTGGTTTTGGCTGTTGCGGCAAATGCTCAAAACTGCTACAAAGTTGAAGCCGGTGCTAGAGTCTATCGGCTGGCCTCGACGGAAGAGCCACTGCTGCCGTGTCCGCGCTTCTCCTGGGACATGCACTGCCACACATCTATGCCTGTGCATGTGTCGATATCTATCACATTTATTAATAATATAACATGATACTTTTCCCTCTCGCCCTGCCAAAGCCGCGAGGTAAAGACTAGCCAACTCTCCTTCCGAAAAGTACCTAATAGAGTCCATATACTTTAAGATTATATGACATGATTATTCCATTATATGAAATAAAATGGAATACAATACAAATACTAAGTAAGATGGTATGATATAAAGTATCATAACATAACAAAACATATCAATACTTCATGTAACACAATGCAACATATCAAAAACAATACAATGTACCCTACTGTGACATAACATACTACATGACAACCATGATTGTAATAACAGTAGTAAGAGTAAAAAATGATTGGGAAATGGGTATAAGTATTGGCATTGTTTGTATAATATGTTATAACACGTCATATGATTTTATATAATATAGTGATGGTAGTATGATGTAATATCATATCATATCATACCATAAAACCAATACCGTATATATAATAACATCATGTGATATCATAGAACACCATATTATAACAAACAATATTAGGTGAGACCATATAATATTATGTTACAATACAATAGAATATATCATTGTATTCCAATATAGCATAATCTGATAAAAAAAAGATAACATGCAATGTGATATGATTTTGGTATAATGCAATACAAATTTATCTATTAATGTCCTGTAATGTCATGTAATGTCATGTACTGTTATGTACTGTAAGGTAATGTAATGTAGGGTCTCTATGTATGTGTGTATAAATATGTATATACATGCGGTCGAGTTGCCACGACTTTGGCCCTTACCGCCAACTCCAGGAGGAAGGAGAGCTCGCAGACGTCGATGAGCCCCCGGTCCTGCGCCCCGCAGTCCTTCGCCAACCTTTCGAGGCCCGGGACCCACTAAGGAATATAGCGTAAATCAGTACATGAAGCCCTATACAATTTAAGCCATATTCCTTAATTAAGGGATACTGGGCTCTCTGGGCACATGGGCAATGTGACGACTTTAATTGTAGAGGGTTTGAGATTGCTTGAGGCCTCTATGGTTCTAGAACTCTTGGGTTGGGTTAGGAACCGGTTAAGCCGGCGGCTAAAGCCTAAAGCACAGAAGATGCATGACGGGAACCCACCTACCGGATAGAAAAAAGCCAAGCCGCTCAGCAACAGATGCAAAGGGTGTCTTCATCAGTCGATGGAGAAGCCGGAGCAGCAAGCAACGCAGAACCGGTACGTTCAACGTCCCCCGAGCATGTACCCAAGCACATGGAGCCATCAGTTGACAAGGAAGAAAGCTTCCCTGCAGTGTTCCAGCTGCCTTGTCGAGACCAGCGGCTCGCAGTACACACGCCGCAGCTTGGCGGAGACAGCGAAGCGAGCAATGCTCCAAGTAGGGCCAAAGCCAGTGCCTTCCCAAATCGAAGTGACTGAAAAGTTCTGCTGCAGCCGAGGCGGCCGAGGCCTCAGCCGAGGCCTCAGGGCTCCCCTTAGGCTCAGAGGAGCTCTGTGAAACGCAGAACGGGGCGGCAGCGTGAGCAAGGACCTCTCGAAACTCCTGGCCGCATGGAAAAGGAACCACGAGCCTCAACTCCTCTAAACAAGCCAGGACCAACGACAGGCTGGGAGGCCTGGGCTGCGAAGGCTGCAAGCGCCTGAGTCGCTTCGGGCCCCTTTGGTGGCTTCGGAAGCCCTGATATGCAGCCTTGAGCTGAGAGGTGCTGGCGCCTGGCAGAACAAAAAGTCCCGTCAGGTCACCTTCCTCTTTGACCTCTGGTGCTCTGGAAGATATCGAATGAACGGTTTTGAAGACGAAAGCTGCGGCATCGAGGAGTTCTTGTTCTCGCGAACACAAGCCTGCTCCCACGCTGGAAGGCGTGTCCAGGAACGTTGCTGCAAACTCTTTGAATGAAATATCCAGAACCTCCTGGTCTTCATCCTGTTCAAGCGCCGTGCTCGGTGCATGTTGGGCTTTACCAGCCCCTTTATCAGTTGCAGCTTGGTTCTGGCTGGGCAGCGCATCTCCTCCGATGTCATCGTCCTGGGCTTCCTCCTCCTCAGAATCCTCTTGCCGGTTCTCGGCCTCGGCGTCCTTGGTTTCGCAGAAGCAACGCATTGGATCCACCGGCTCTACAGGGGCAGGTAGCATGTTGGGAAGCTCTTCGTCGGGGACCAGGAGCCACTTCAGGAAGCTTTCTGGCTTCCGGGGAGCTGCGAGAGCCACTCGAATCGACTGAAGTGTGGGCTCGTCACTCGTCAGTTGCAGATGGGACTGGATGCCCGTTGGAGGCCTCGAGCCGCTTCTCTCATCTTCGGGCTCAAGGAGCGGCTCCTCCTCTTCGTCGTCCTCCTCGTGAGAACTCTGCCAGGGCGGCCTCTTGCCGATTGCCTGACTGTAGAAATCTGAATCAGCCCACACCGCTCTCAGGGTCGCCCTGTTTGACGCCACAGCATCTGAAAGCACCAGCAGGTGGGTCCCCTCAGATGACTCTGGCGCGAAGCTCCGGTAGCCCTGCAAGGCTTCAGGACTGGTCGATGAAAGCGTCCCAAGCGCTTCTTGCAAGCGAGTGAAGTCCCCACCTCTGCCAAACATCCTGACTTTGCAGGCATAAGTCAACGTAAAACTCGGATGCACGTTGTCTGGAAGCCTCCTTCCTTTGCTGCGCGGCTTGTACTTGCTGACCAAAGACGCCACCTGCCACTGCCTCAGAACAGAGTCGACAAGTCTTCGGACATCGGCAGGTAAGAACTCCAGTTTCCACCAGGACATGAATGTTTCGTAGGGCGAGAGCAGCAGGCACTTTGAGACGGACCTCCCCGCAGCACTTTGTGCATGTGCGGAGCGCTCACTCTGGACTTCCTCGGATCGCAAGGTGCTGACCAAGCGTTGGTTCTTGGGGTCGCACTGCAGGAGCTCCCTGATGCGTTTCTGGCAGTATGCTTCCGGAAGGCCTGCAAGGCGGGCGAGCATTGGCCACGTGACCGACGGGCTGGTATGCGAGGGGCCAACTGGACGCTGCGTCAACGGCAAGCCCTTGGCGTGTTGCTCCAAGCCAACCAACGATTCAGCAGTGGCCAAGAGCTGCAGCCACTGTACATCTTCTATCTCGTCTTCCACCTCAGCCAGCTCCTCTCGGAGTTCCCCCATGTCCAAGTGGAGCTTGTTGGACTTGCTTGGCAGCACTTTCCGCAACCGCTTGATGCCGGGGTTCCTAGGTGGCTTTGCCTGCTCCAGCCGCCGTGCATAAAAATCCGGCTCGCAGAAAAGGCTCTCATCTGTAGGCAAGGGCAGAGAATGAACCTTCCAATAATGGTCTGCGATGGCCGTCTTCAGAAAGCAGAGGTGGCCACATTTGTGACATTTGTACCGCACGGCGTACAGCGGGGAGAACTCCACCCTGGCTCCGGAGGGGTGAGGCCCAGCCACCTCCACCAGCTGCCGACAATACTTCACGACCCGCTCAGGTGGCACCATGATTCGGCGGCTGAGGGCAGATACTTCGGCAGATCTTGGCGTAACAATCCTTACATCTTGCGCCTCGGAAAGGAGCGACTCTGAAGCTCGCTGTCTCCTGGGTGCCGTGCTGAAGCAAAGGTCGCTGTAGAATTTGTTGAGGGCGGCCCGCTGATGCGGACTGAGCCATGGATAGCTCTTCCAGTTCTTGCGGCGGAAGAGCTCAGGAAGCGGAGCATTCACAGGGGTGGGGATGTTGGGGGCAGTCTGCCGAGAGAGGGGCCTCTTCTCATCGCTGGAGCTTCCGTCGTCTCTTGCGCCTCTCGCCCCGCCCAGGACCTTGTCACACCATTCCTTCACAAGCTGCTTGGTCTTCTCCCAATATGCATCGACAGAACCAGGTTCTGCAAGGTCGAAGCTGGCAAGTCGCCGGGGCGGGTCTGCTTCAAGGTCTGCCGTGAAACTGTCCACGTGCGCGTATCGATTCACCTGGGGTTCGGTTCAGCCAAGTGTAACTGCTCGCATTCAAAACTCGTTTAACCTCGCTAGCTGTCATGTACTTTGCTACTTAGCTGCTACTCCTACTACCTTGGCCACCTCGTAGACTAAGTGAACGGTCTCTCCGGAAGGTCCAGATGTTGAATCACCGGCCATCGTCACAAGATTCATCTTCACAAGGTAAACCATGACACGGCGGATGGTTTGTGTCGTCCTTGACGCCCCAGTGCATGTGGTTGGCCCGAGGAGTTGCTTTCTGATGTTCGCCGGCACCTGTCAATCAAGAAGCGTCAATTTCCTGTGCTTACCCTCCACGTCTACCCCGAACCTCTCCAAGGAACTTTTCCGGTGCCTCTTGGCAGCGGCATGGCTTGCAAGTGTTTCCATGTGCTGATTCCATAGGTACACATGTACATACGTGTATACACAGCATATGTATGTATGTATGTAAGCACGCACGTATGCACGTATGATCACGTATGCATGTATGTATGCACGTAGGTATGTAGGTATGTAGCTATGTAAGTATCTAGCTATTAGTGCATGTATGTCTGTATGTAAGTCTGTATGTATGTATGCATGTATGTATGTATGTATGTGCGCATGTGCATCTATCTGTTTGTCTATCTACTTATCTACTCTTTTGATCACCTATTCGTCTATCTATTTTCCGACTGTACATGTTCGCAAGTACATGAATGAGTATCTCTGAATCTAATGAAATATGTACGCTACTCGGCCCTTTTATGGGGTAAGAAGAACAAACACTGATGTGATGTGTGTATGTGTGAGATTGTGTATGTGTGTGTGTGTGTGTGTGCGGGTGGGCAGCTGTGGGTGTGGGTGTGGATAATTGTCTTAAGGTGCGTTCTATGCCAGTTCGTTGGAGTCGCACACCCCTCCCAACCGCTCCCGGGCTCGCCTGGCAAACAAGAGGGTTGGATCCAGTCGCCAGAAGCTTGTCGAGATCTGGATCATACAACCCGCAGCCGATAACTTGTAAAAATACATGAAGATCCATCTCGTCCACGATTCTGGCTGGCGTCCATCTGGCACTCTTGTCGAACCCCTGCCGGCGCAATAGCATCCCATGGAGCAGGTGAATACGAGACACTAAAGAGCTGTTGAATCCGTAGTGCTGCAACACCTTCTGGTCCAAAGTTCTTGGGACAGAGGCGACGGCACCTGTCTTGCCCAGCTGGCTCACTCTCTCTGCTACGATGTCCTCGGGCAGCACCCTTCGCGTCGTCAGCTGCATCATGCTCGAGGGAGCTGACCATGGTCGATCGAGCAACGCCAACGGCAAGGATTTCTTCGGCGGCTTCATCCCTTTTTCTTTCTCGTTCTCGGGTCGCCGAATTTTCTGAAAGCGATTCTCCCGCCGAATCTCTGCATTGTCTGCAGCCACCTGACGCGCGGAGCTTTCCGTGTGAGTTGGCTTCCAAAACGCCATTTCGATCTGGTCTGCGGCATTTGTCACCAGGCCGACTCTTTCTTCAGCAGATGCCAGAGCCCTGAAAATCTTCATCGGTGTCTTGTTGTCCATGCAACCCAGCACATCATCCTGGAGGCCTGCTTTCTTCAGGTCGGTCGTGGTAAGCATGCCGGTCTCTTCCAAGAGCTCACCGGTGCGTTGAATACGCCTGACAAATGTCGCATCCACCCGTCCTGCAGACATTGTCTTCAAGGCTTTGCTGGCACGTCCATCTTGCAGCTTCAGTGCATGCTTCCCATTCGATTGCCGGACACTGTATGCACCCATGCAAGTGGCTGGTGAATCGAAGTAACGATTGAAATGTGCTTTCCCATCGCTCTCAAAGACACGAGTCGCACGCTTCTTCTTCACCAGTGTATTTAGGATGCGCTCCGTTTGCTTTCGGCGAATTCCTAGCAAGCTGGATATGTCCGGACTTGTAATGCCGCGGCCAAACCTGCTACAACAACGAATCAAATCTTCAGTTTGTTGGGATGCTGATCTTTCTGCAGAACGCACACAAGCCATACTCAGCTGTGCATGCACGAGACCTTCGGGGAGCGGATGCGCGACTCTTCGGACTTGCTGCTCGGATGGCTGCACCACATCTCGGGTTCCAGGGCTTTTGTCAGCTTTGATGTCTTCAATGGCCAGGACAGGCTGTTTTGGGACGTGCCCCGGGATGCAAAGAGCATCTCTGTATGTCTTGCTGCCAGCATCCCAAGCACGAACACACTCCACCTTGCCGCTTGCCATAAGTTCTGACCTCAGGCGCTGATAAATGCGACCTGCAGCTCGGCGCGAGATGTCTGGCTTCAAGGCTGATTCGTCCAGCACTTGTGCCAGCACAGACCGCAAGCCCCCTTCAAAAGCCACCTTGGAGTCCGTGGCATTCAAAGTCGCCAAGATCTTGTTCTTCAAAGCAGTCGCGGAAGTTTTGAGCAAGACCTGCACCTCCCTTTGTTCAGCAGACTCAGGATCGAAAAAGCGGGAGAAATAGAAAAGGTTGCCATGCGCATCTGCTGCCGTCGCCTTGGAAGGGAGCGTCAAAACGCCCACCAACAAACCTGCCAACCTCAGTCCTTCGAGCAAATAAAACAAATTGCAGGAGGTGACGTTCAACTCTGACGACAGTAAAGAAGCAGAACAACCTTTCCAGCGGCGCTGTGCGACAAGCTGCAAGGATTTTATTGACAATTCGTTCTCAGCAATGTCAGGATGAGCATCCAACCTCAAGCAATGCCATCGAACAGCATCGGGAACATCTAACACCAACTTCCCCCTGTTGCGAGAGCTCCGAGGACATGAGCAGTCGCGGTCATCGGAGTCTTCCGTTTCTGCCTCAACAGGGACTTCGTGATGACTCTGACTGTGTCCACGGATGAGAATTGGCGTCCGATTCCTGCTAATCTCCTTCCATAGGGATTCTTGCATGTATTTGTCCATCTGATGCCCGGTGGCCCGCAACCTGCACAACAGCTTGGCCCATGAGATTCCAGGAGGGCCATCCCAAGAAATCTCTTCCACAGACACTTTTACCAGAGATGCCAACATGACGCCATGGCAGCTAAGCTCCCATCCGACCCTTCCCCCCCCTTTGAGACAGCAACACCTGTCGGAGACCTTTTTTTGCATACTGCGACTCTGCACAAAAAGCCAAAACCTTCAGATCAATTCATGCAACACTTGGAGGGGAACGCTTGGGTCTCGCCAACCTTACATGCAACTCGCCCGCTGGCCGGAAACCAACCAGTTTATTAGTAATTGGCGGGATAAAACACTGTTAATCGGTGAGAGAAGCTCGCAGGACTGAGTACAGGAGGACGCGGCAAGGGCTACAGCTGCCTACGAAGTTAACACTCCACACCTGCAGCTTTGCGGGACATTTCGTCGTGCAAGGGCACTCCAACCAAACTAGGATACGCCATGGACGAAAGTGCGAAACAAGCACCACACCGAGAGCAGCGCAATAGCGGGAGATTGTGATCCCTTGCGCCGTGATCAACACAAGCTTCTCGGCGATCCATCCCGGGGATCCCGGCGTTCCCATGTTGCTGCATGGATATAAGGCCTGAACTTGCCCACTTAATCCTGCTCCGATTCCGGATGATGTTGGCGGCGAGTGTCATTTGCGTGTTAGCGTTTTTCAGAGCCGAGCAGGTCATGGCTCGAGGCCCATTCTTCGACGACGCACATTTCGTTTGTGAGGACTGACGCGAACATAATTCAACAAAGCTGCTCAAGCTTTTGTGAAGCCGCAAATGGCGCAACCAGCAGCCACCGGCCCATCTAACCTCCGAAGGGGGCTCATGCAGCGAACCGCGCAAAAGCTTCAAATTTTTTTGCTGCTTGAATTCTAAACCCTGCGGGCGCGCCAGCCTATAGCAAAGCAACATGAAGTTCCGACCGCACGCGCAGTCAGTCCAAGTGGTCATCTTTTTATAGCAGTATAGCGGCCGGCGATTTTGTTTTTTCCTTCCGCTTTTCTTGCACCTGCCGAAGAACGTCCAGTGTCCGGGTCGAAGGCTGCCACACGCTGCGCAAAACTGCTGGCTAATTACGGCAGTTGTGGGAGGCGAGGACCACACAGCCCAGTTCGTTAGCGCATCGCGGTTTTGCACCGGCCCTGCACCGGCTGCTGATTGGTCCACCCAGGCAGATGTGCTGCCTGCCACGACTTGATACACCCTCCGCGCGTGCCCCGTCGACATTTCTAGAAGGCACAAGAACGGCTCACACGAGGACCATCGACTGGCACAGCCGTACAACATTTGGCTCATTGAAGCTTCACTGGGCGGAGACATGCGGCGACACGACTCACGGGCACTGCCTCGGCGTCACATGCATCCGCCAACAAGTCACCCATACGGCGCTCCGTGCCTTCGCACGTGTCTGCTCCCGCCAACTGCAACTCGAAAAGCGAGTCAGCATGCCCGTCCGTAGGTAAATGACACGCTGCGCCGAGCGCAGCCGCGCCGGCGACTCGCAGGCAGACACCCTGGCCAAGTGCCGAAGGAAAGCAAACGGCATCGTGGCTGAATCTGCCGCCAACCTCGAGGCCAAGCACAACAGTTTGCAACGGCGAGCGACTGATGGGGACATTGGGGACTGCAAGCTTTGGGCAGGTACGTATTCGTTTGCGCTTCTCTTCGCAAGGCTCCGTTTCGCCGCGTATACCAAGTCTCGGGCCTGGCTACGGTGATGCAAGAGAACCGTTCAATGCAGGTGGGTGGCCAGAGGTGCAAAAACGTGCAAAGGTCGACGGCACGGCGAGGACGTCGCTGAGAACAGGACGATTCGCGTCGGCAAACGCCGGGAGGACCAGGGCGAAAAACAGTCCCGTCCTTGAACAACTATGGGGTGTGGTCAGAACGTGAGACACTACACGACTACGCAAAACGTGTTTATACGAATGCACAAGATCAAACAAGCTAGAATGTCAGGCTACCCAGACTCACACAACGGACGCGTGGTTGGCAATTTCACGGGCACGCAGTGGTGACTGCGGAAGTGCACAACAACGTGCCCCCATCTGACACGACGACGCCACCTTTCTCGCCGGGCTTGGTGCGGGGAGCAATGAAGGAGTAGTATGAGTCCTGAAACAACCGTCATGCGGTCAGTAACTACAAAGTGAATCGAAAGATATGTACCGATATTCAGCAAGGGCAGAAATGCCACAGCAGATCACACATTCAAGCCTTCCAACAACGAGCTTTGGGCTCGACACACACCAGCCGCAAAGTGCATATGGACTGACAGTAAGCTTACAGTGTTGCAAGGGTGCTGTGGCGAGAAGAGCAAATGCAGAAACACGTCGTCAGGCAACTGCTCAACAGCTCTTAGCCCACACACCTGGGAACGGTATATCCAAGCCTTCGCCTCGGTACAAACAGGGGGCAGGACCGTATGTCGTGAATGAAGCTCCATACGGCGGCGCCACACAAACAATGGCTGGGCTTGAAACCTGTGACGGGCAGAATGTCCATCAAGGAATGGCTGATGGCCACACCGAGCCAATGTCCTATAAACGCAAACACACGTGAGCTATGGACACGTGGACAGAAACTTAGCATGGGATGACACTCAGCAAAGAGACGAAGCGACGGCACAGCCGCGACTTCAGCACGACGCCCTTCAACAACATGCCGATCTAACGCCGGGCACATGCGCCGACATCTCCAGGCAGCCACGGTGCTTCCGCTGCAACCCGGCGACACTCCCCACACATGCGGTGCATGGATGCCACAATCACGCAGGTATTATCGACGTCTTAGGCCCAGGAGTGTAGTTGGCCTAAGGCATCGCGAAACACTCGTGCAGAAACACCCGTGTGGATGCCAGCAGGATCAGCAAAGCATAAGCGCCCAAACTAACTGAATTGACTTCTCAAGACCTCGTGGCGAAAGGGGTCCACGGCCGCACCGGGGGCCCCAGCAGGCCACTGCAAGCGGCGACGACCCCACTGATGCAGTTTCTTGTCCAGACAGGCTACAGAGCTGGAGTTCTGGTGCTGAGGAACTGACATCCGTATAACATGGAGGGGAGCACATATGAATGGGAAGAAGCTGTGCCGAAAGCTTGTGTGCATTTAGCGATTTTCCGCCCAAGTCAGGAACTCATGAAATCTCATGAAATTTACGGTTGCCCTTCGCATAAAGACGCTCACCGAGCCGATTGGAAACGACGCCCTAATCTCCAACGGGCTCTCCAGGTCCCAACAGCATCTAAGGCACGTTGCAAATCCGAGGAGCGGTCCGAGGTCTGCCAAGACTAAAAAATCGTCGGCATACAACAACTTTGGGCGCACCGGCTCCGCCTAGCGTGACCACGGGACAAGCCCTGCGCACGGTCGTGGAAATGCTGTTAGCACGAGCTCCTCGCCGACGCCCGCTGGCTGCAGGCGCCCGCTAACAGCCGCCTGCCAGCGCGTCCCGCTTGAGCACCCCCCGTCCAATGCCCTGTAGTCGGACCTGGACTCCTCTTGCGCAGTCGCAAAAAAGTGAAATAAATAAAAAAAATGGTACACCGAAGTACGCCGAGCACACTGCCCTGACGGACGCCCGCTGTTTCAGCCCATGTTTGCGAAAGCACACCATGTACCACAACTTTGGCAGAACTGCCTGTCAACAGGTCATCCAATACAGTACCTTCCAAGTTACAGCACAACAGGCTGATGGGCCGGTAGTTCGTGACCTCTTCCGCTGAACCGGACTTGTGTAACGGTTTCATGACGGCAGTCCGCCATACAGAACGGACGATTGCCCAGGAGCGGACAAGCTCAAAGAAGCACAACAATGCCGCATGAAAGATGTCATCGTCAACACGGAGGACGTCATATGTTAGCCCATCCGTGCCAAGTGCACGATTAGCGGGCATCTCTTGCAGAACTTTTAATCAACTCCAAATAGAATTGCCCGGTGCCGCGGGACATAGCTCCTTGCAAGTTACGCAATCGTTGCAAAAGACAGGAGTCATCATTATCACAGGGCGACACAGGCGAAGCAACAAACGGCAGGATTCGACACAGACATGCACTCCAGGGCCTGCAGCCACGAGTGCCAAAGTTGCGGTTTGTTTTTGCGACTAGGTCTGACTGCAACGCTTTGATGGCGAGCGGTTCGCAAATCACATAATGAGTGATGCCCACAACGAGATAACCTGTGCAGGAGACACGTGCCGGCCAAGAAAGCGGCTTGCAGTACCTGATGATTCGGGCGAGCTGTTGCCGCGCAGCAATGGTCACCAGTCGTTGCACGGGATGGACCGACAAATTGCGACAGGCTTGGCACGCTGAGCAGTTTGCCAGCTGCCACGGGGTGAAGCCATGTTGCGCAGGGAGTGCCAACCGGTAAATGTGATACATCTGACCACAACCAATGACCATGAAGACGCAACGTTACAAACTTGTAAAATTCACCACCCCGTCGCTTGAAAGGTCGACCTTGCCGTCGCTCTGGCGAACTGTCAGATTGTGTTGGGACGGGATGTTCCCGGTTGCTGCACATAACGGCCAGACATTCCTCACACTCAGCGGCCGTAGAACATGCGGGCGAATGGGAGGAGCGCCGGGCCACCTGGCGCAAACCGACTGCCTTGCAGGCACAGTAAAGCGTACACGGTGGGTGGAAGGCTTGTAATCAAAGCTTCCCAGGCTCTTCTCACTCCCTCTCGAATGCGAAAGCGTAACTGGTTTGCGTGCTGTGCTGTGCTTCTATTGTAATTGCTCATGCAGCTCAGGCCCGGTCCGTCCCCGAGGTCGGCGGCGGGGGGCAACTCGAGCAAAGAGGCTGCGAAGGCGCGCTGCGCGGCGACGGCTAGAAGGCCGGACCATCGCGCGACCCAGGCCGTGATAGCGGCAGTGCGCAGCGGTCTGGGTACGGCGGCGGCCCGATGCCGCGCCAGTACGCGCAGGAACTGCACCGCTTCGGTGCCGAACCTGCCGCCAACTTCAGTGCCGAAGACAACCAGGTGCGGCGCTGGGTGTCAAACAGCGGACACACGCGAATGGCATGCAGGAACGTGTTACGAGGAGCACCGCAGAGGCACTCGGG